TCTCCTCTTGCTTAAAACTGTATTCCCGAAGTGATCTGAGATGTTTTTCGAAGGCATCACTGACTAGCTCTCTATAACCTAACATAACAATCAAATCCCAAGGCATTCCAAGGTAAGCCCAACTCTTGAGGCTTAACCCTCAACATCTCCCCACCTAGACCTCTATTTATAGGAGAAGGAAAACAGGCATTAAAATTTAAAAGAATCAGTAACATTTTAAGCCAATAACAAAGTAAACCTTTCCTACTTAGGAGTCTTTTTTAAAAAATTGTCATATTCGCTGCATTGCCAAGTTTGCATGCAGCACGCATTGATCAGCTATTCGTTATGGAAAGAAGCATAAGCAAATGCATGCAGTGTGGGGGCCCAGCCAAGCCCCGCCCGCTGGCTGGGGTGGCCCATGCTCCGGCTGCCCGCTGGGGAAGTCACAGTATCTGGGGACCAGGAAACAGGCTCTTGCCCCCAGAGGGAAGCTGCTTTCATGTCTTTAAAGAACCAGAACTGTGACACTATCATTTAACCTGCCTCTGACTTAGATGGGACTTAAACATTTTAAGAATTATATTGTACAAAACACAGTCACGCACAGCCGGGAGTCATTCTTTAGGGGACACCGTGGAATCATGCTGCTGAGTTTTCCCCGTGAAATACCTCCTGAGCCAGACGCTGATGCGTCTCTCCTCCCAGGGACCGCACCTTGAGGAAGACGGCCGCAGAGAGCGCCTGCTCCCTGCCTATCAGTGTGAGTAGGAAAAGAACCCCAACGCCTGTCTTAGGGATCAGTGACAGCGGCGCTGAAGTGTACAATGGGCTGGTGCGTGACCCTGAAGCGGCACTGCCCAATACAGTGGCCACTCGCCACACGTGGCTCTCCAGCTCTTGAAGCGCCCTGTTCAAGTTGAGATGAGCCCTAGCAGTAACATGTGCACAATTCGAGGGCCTGGTACGCGGAAGAGCATGCAAAGTGTCTCACTAATACCCTCTTATACTGATCATAGAAAACAACGATATTTGGATATATTAGGTTAAATAATGTAGTTTTACCTTAATTATTGTCACCTATTTCTTATATGTTTTTATTGATTTGAGAGAGAGGGAGCGAGGGAGAGGGAGGAAGAGAGAAACACCAATAAGAGACCCACAGTCTGGCTGCCTCCGGCACACCCCCTAGTGTGGATAGAGCCTGAACCTGGGCATGTACCTGGACCAGGAATCGAACCAGTGACTTCTCAGTGCATGGGAGGACACCCAGCCAACTAAGCCACACCAGCCAGCACTCTTTTTCCTGTTTTTAATCAGCTGTTAGAGAGTTAAAACTGACACAAGGAGCTCACGTTACATTTCTATTGGACAGTGCTGCTCAAATATTATTCCTTTAAAATAAACAAGTGATCAACATCTTTGAATTATTTATTCATCTTTAACGATTGTTTGCCTTTTTGTAATAAAAACAGGACCCAGGCTCCGTACTGGCAGAGGGAGGGGGTGGTGGGAGGCAGTGGAGTCCCATTATTTCTACACCTGATGGTTTAAATTGTGAACAGGCACAGGGAGGGAAAAAGATGTTGAATCAAATGTAAATGCAAACCCATCCTGAGAGGTGACCTACAGCATGGATACCACCGATGCCGAATGACAGCTCTCGGAGCATTCTGGAACATTCCCAGGTACGCAGCCTCTGGCACAGAGCCGAAGTCCATAGAGCGCAGCAGTACGGCAGGTCCCCCTGAGGTCTCAGTGGTTAAACATTGTCTATTTCGCTGCCCGAAAGGATTTACGTGAAAGAATATGTATGAACGGCCCCAGGACTCTTTGCAGGTGGTCCCTGCAAATGTGGGAATGTCACACATTTAGTATTTCACTTCATAACTATCCAACTGCTCCAGGAAGCATATCCCTCGAAAATGGCAGTGCCATAAATTATTTAAAAAATTCATATTAATGACCCAAATTCTATGTTCACAATGCAATTCTGAAAGGTGACACATTCGAATCTGACATGATTGTGTAGTTATAGTCCTATATAATAAAAGGGTAATATGTAAATTGACTGTCACTCCGTCACAAAAGATGGCGGTGCCCAGTCCTCTCAGCCCTGCCAGAGTCCCCCAGTCCCAGGGGTCAGCTGCTGATAGCGGGCAGCGTGAGCGACCTGGTGGAATGTTTGCTTCGTCACCACAGCAACGAGGCAAGCGTTCCTCCCCCAGCCATGGGTGGGCCTCTAGGCCGCGGAGAGCCTCTGGGCAGCGGGTTTGGAGCAGCCAGGCCCTGCAGAGAGCTACTGGCACACATATTCATGCGCAGGGCTACTAGTAAAAGGATATAAAATATAATAATTAGGAATTGATGAATCTTGAATGCCATGAAGTCAACACAAATAAGTGTGGAGAGTTTTTTTTAAAACACACACACACGTACACATACATGTACCCTGAGCCAAATTTATGTCATAGAACACCCACTTCCCTAAGTTGCAATTACGACAGCATCAGCCCCTGGTATCAGCAGCAGCACAGGAGAGAAGCCTGGTGGCTCAGAGGCTTCCTGTCTTAGCTGCTAACTTCCCCCACATTTTTGTAGGTATTAGGAAAGGGGGTTGCAGTATACATGCATTTAAATTAGAGACATTCACCCACAGGCACGTGGCAGGAAGGAAGAGCTGCTTTTAAAAGCAACAGCCAGGAACCCCACCACTCCATCTCATTCGATGAAACGTTGCCCCAGCGTAGCAAGGGAGAGAAGACTTGTCTTTTAAAAACTGGTTTCAGAGACCAAGTCTGTCATGTAGCTCTGGTCTCCCAGGTGACCGAAGGCGTCGTGAAAAATACTTTTGTCTGTACCTAACCTTGGCTTCTGTGTGGACTGTACACGGCAAAGCCCTGGCTAGAGGACTTGGTGGTGTGCTGATGGCACCATGTGCTCCATTAGGCCGTAATGGCAGTTACACTGGTCCCAGCACGTTCCTGGCTCCTTCCTTCCGGCCACCGCCTATGCCTGTGCTTTGGAAAGATCGCTTGGCTGCTGTGTCACAAAGACCGTAGCCAGTGGGCAGGAACAACAGTTACCTGGTGACCTGAATCACTGGCATGATGGAAAAGGACAGAGTGGACAGAGGTTTCCGGGGAAAGCAGGGATGGCTGCTTCGTGGAGGTTGCTTCGGGTGCTAACGGTCCACAAGTTACACAGCATCAGTGTTCTCCAACATGGCATTCTCTCCCAGTGCACAGCTTTTAATGTTGACTAAGATAAGCCTAGAGCCACCTTTTTACTCCCCCTCCTTCGGCAGTTTCCCATTGGTTACAGAGTGCGGCCCCAGGCGCTGTGCATGCAGTTAAACATCTGCTCGGGAACTGCTGGGCTTCTGGAGTTTCAGTAACAGCGATACCCATCCTGCCTAATCTCTCACTTAATTTCAAATGTGAGACAGGAGACTTGTCTATAGGTGCATAGTATATACAGACCAAGGGAAGAAGTGTAGGCAACACCAATGAAATGTGGAGTCACAGTTCTCCACTGTGCATACAGGATATTGCCTGTAGCTCAGGTAATTTTCTAATGTTGAACGCAAAGGTAGGGAGTTTCTGAAATTCAAACTGTACAATTCCCAGAAGGGTCCCATAAGACAAACATGATCTCATTGTATCCAGCAAGGGATAGATATGACATCACTGCATTTTTAAACCCCGCAAAACAAACAGTGCCGTATGGCTCATTTTTCTTTTTGCCAACAGCAAACTAACAACAATCTGGCGCCTTCTAATAAACTGCTGCTGGCTCTGGGAGTACTCGGGGCCACATTTTCTTTATCCCCATTGCTACTGGTTTGCTAATAATTTCTTTAGCCTCAGAGTTATAATTAGAAGACACTTACTACTTTGCATAATCAAACTGCAATTGCTATTTGGGTGAAATCCAACCAATTTAAGTATCCGTACTTAAAAAAAACCCACCACAAAAAATAAAACGACAGAAAAACCCAATATCTGGCAAAAGAGAATAACAAACACCATGCTCTAACGAACAGGTAGTCGAATAAGGATTGCCTAACGTCTGAGTTATTTTCGTTGGGAGGTTGGAGAGCAAGTGATATGAAAAATATCAATCTGTTTAAAGGCATCACGGTGTGTAAATGGCAACAAATGAAGGCTCTTCCGTAACACGAATGACGGAACAAGGATAAAAAGCTCACTTGGGGTTAGAAACGTAACCGAGCCTTGGGCCTTTGGTTACACGTGTGCTCCTGGGCGATCACCCCACATTTCTGAGTCTGTTTACTCGTTTGTAAACTGGAATTACAGTACCTTACTATCATAGACACGTCAGCTTTTGGATGCCCCCAAATCCAGGTGAGATAAACGATAAGCAGGAAAATAAGCAAAGGTCTCGGCGTGTGTGCCTCTCCGTGCCACCGTCATCCTGCCACAACGTTGTTCCAAAGGCACCGATGGGGCTTACGCAGAATTATGTGACAAAAGCGTCTGGTATTTCAGATCAAACCTCAGGCCCAGTTCCAAGGTAGATCTGAGTTTAAGAGTTACCCTGATATAAACCACGCCAAACCTTTTCTGAAACGCATCACACATAAATATTTTAGGCTTTGCAGGCCACCTCTGATTTATGTCACACAGGCTTCATTTTTTCAACCCTTTAAAAAACATAAAACCACCCTTACCTCGAGGCCACACACAATAAAGGCCGGGGTAGACCAGGGTCGCAGCCGACCCGAAACCAGCGTCCTTACTGTTAAGCTCTGCTCAGTCTGTATCTCATGTCTTCAATGGCCCTCTCCCTTTTTTCTCTTTATTATTCATTCGCCAAAAATCTAATGAAATTTTCTTTTCTAGCACTACAGGAGTTCCAACTGCCGCGGCCTCGGGTCGGTTCTGAAAAGCTCTATTCACACAAGCACCAGAAGGAAGTTCTTGGAGAAAACCTTTCTTTTCCTAGGTTTCTCTACTTCATACCGCGCTCCTAGCGGAGGGAGGGCCCGCGGGCCTTACCTGGCCGGGGGAACGTCGATGCTGGAGGAGACCACTTTTCGCTTCTGCTCAAGGAGACAGATGGAGCGGGCGTTTTCCCTGTCATGGTCCGGGCCTCGGGTGGCTGGCCTGGTGTCGGCGGTTTTCACGTCTTCCTCCATGGCCAAGGGGAACCAGGGCTGATGAGACAGTTTTTTACTCAAGTCCCGTTTTAGGTCCTCCGGGTGAAACGTGAAGGTCATGTCCCGCTTAATGCTCCCCACCTGTGAAATGAACACAAATTCTCACTCACACACCTGTGAGTTCTGCAGGACCACGTGCAGGCGGCCACCAGCACAGACCACAGACACCACCCTCCCTGGTCATCTTGAAGGTTGTGTAGTTTAAATGGGAAAAATGCAACATACAGATAAAATACCTGACACCACAGAGTAATATACGATTAATGCATCTTCTGTCCTCTGCAGACAAAAGCATAAAACACAAGAAAAGCCTTTCGGGAGAACAGAAACTTCGGAGGCTTGAAAGCATAAGACTTGTAAAAAAAATCCAAAAATTTATAACATCATTGCTTTCTACAGCTGTGAAAACTCAATTAAATCAATAAATTCCTTTATTTACCTTAAGCCCTTATTGTTAGAGTATTATAGATATACCTCTTCTATTGCCCCTCTCCACTTGGTTCCTGCCCTGCCTCAGGCCTTCACCACCCTACTGTCTATGTCCACAGGTAATGCATATATGCATATAGGTTCTTTGGTTAATCTCCTCCCACCTCCCACCCCCTTCCCTCTGAGATTGGTCCGTCTGTTCCATGTTTCCATGCCTCTGGTTCTACTTTATTCATCAGTTTACTCTGTTCATTAGATTCCTTGTTCATTTATTTTGATTTTTAGATTCAATAGTTGATAGATACACATTTATTGCCATTCTATTGTTCATATTTTTTACCTTTTCTTTCGTTCTTCACCTTCTCCTTCTCCTTCTTCTTCAATAACCTTTAACATTTCATGTAATACTGGTTTGGTATGATGCACTCCTTTAGCTTTTTCTTGTCTGTGAAGCTCTTTATCTGACTTTCAATTCTAAATGATGGCTTTGCTAATCTTGGTTGTAGGTTCTTGCTTTTCATCACTTTGTATATTTCTTGCCACTCCCTTCTGGCCTGCAAAGTTTCTGTTGAAAAATCAGTTGACAGTCATATGGGTGCTCCCTTGTAGGTAACTAACTGCTTTTCTCTTGCTGCTTTTAAGATTCTCTCTTTGTCTTTTGCCCTTGGCATTTTAATTAGACGTGTCTTGGTGTGGGCTTCTTTGGATTCCTCTTGTTTGGGACTTTCTGCGCTTCCTGGGCTTGTATGTCTATTTCTTTCACCAGGTAGGGGAAGTTTTTTGTCATTATTTTTTCAAATAGATTTTCACTATCTTGTTCCCTCTCTTCTCCTTCTGGTACTCCTATGATGTGAATGTTGTTACTTGAAATGCCCCAGAGGCTCCTTACACTATCTTCATATTGTTTTATTCTTTTTTCTTTTTGGTCTTCTGATTGGGTGTTTTTTTTTTTTGCTTCCTTACATTTCATTCTCAGCATCCTCTACTCTACTGTTGATGCCCTGTAAATTACTCTTCATTTCAATTAGTGCATGCTTAATTTCTGACTGATCCTTTTTTATGTTGTTGATATTCTTATGAATTTCCTTGAAATTCTAAGTTCCTTGAAGTTCTCATTAAGTTCCTTGAGCAGCCTTATAACCACTGTTTTGAACTCTATATCTGGTAGTTTTATTGCTTCCATTTCACTTAGTTCTTTTTCTGTGCTTTCATTTGTGACATGTTTCTTTGTCTTCGCATTTTGGCTACTTCCCTGTGTTTGTTTCTATGTATTAGGTAGAACTGCTATGTCTCCCAGACTTGGTAGAGTGGCCTTGTGTAGTAGGTGTCCTGTAGGGCCCAGTGGTTCAGCCTCCCCAGTCACCTGAACTGGGCACTCCAGGTGCACCCCTGTGTGAGCTGTGTGCACAGTTCTATTGTAGTTGAGCCTTGATTAATGTTGGCATCACTGGGAGGGATTGACACCCAGGCTAATTGGTTGTGAGGACCAGCTGCAATAACAGCTGAAAAGCTGCTGTGCAGGAGACACTTCTATGGAGCAGGACTTGCTTCAGTGGGGCTTTGGTGCTCACTGTGTCTTCCCCTTGAGTATGTCACTCATGGATGTGTAGAGTTGTGATTGGGCATGGTGTGAAGCTATCCACTAGGTGCATTGGCTCTGGGGCCTCCTGGGAGGTACAAAGTCAGCCTATGCCTATGCCCTGCCCAGAGCAACCCAGCATGAGCTACAAAGCAATCTGCAAATGGCTGCTATTTTTGTTGAGCTTGGTGGTGCCCAGGAGAGGCCAAAATGTGAACCAGGGTGGGCTGCAGCTAGTGCCAGGCCTGGGGCCACTTACTGAGAGGTACAGGGCATCCTGAGGCCAGCTGCTGCTTGTTTGAGAGATTTTAGGAAAGTCAAAAGGATGAGACAAGAGAGGCCAGTTGAATGGAAAAGCCACTGGAAATTGCGTGGATGAGCCTGCAAGCAGGGAAGTGTGGGGTCTCAGGGAATCACCAGGGCAAGGATAAAAGTGTGAGCCAGGTTGATGGAGATTCAGATATGGCCCAGCCTGTCAGCTCTGTGGCAGGGAGGGCTCAGCAAAGGAGCAGTGGCCTCTTCCAGACCTCTGTCTTGAGGAAAGTTGCCCCTCCAGCTCTTGCCCTGATTCCAGGCAAGTTAGTTCCTCCCTGATTATCCCAGGTTCTGAGTAAGTCCATGCACAGGCCCTTTAAGATAACTGCCTGGGACTTCCACAGCCTCCGTGTCACTGAGTCAAAATCCCTCCTCGTTTTTACAGCCCAAAGTTACGGGGACTTCTCTTCCCAGCACTGGAAACCTGGGTTGGGGGCCTGGTGTGAGGCAGGCACCCCTGTTCCTCCGGGGGGCCTCCACAGCCTAGATATCCCTCCCGATTAAACAAACACTGCATGTGGGTGTCAGTCCAGCCGGTTCTTCGATCCCACCCGTGTCTCTGCCCCTCCTACTAGTCGCCGTGAGCTTATTCTCTAATTCCCTAGTTGTAGGACTTCTGTTCAGCTAGATTTCAGGTGGTTTTGAATGACGGTTGTTCTGTATTTAGTTGTAAATTTTGATGTGGTTGTGGGAGGTGGCAAGTACTGTGTTTACCTACATAGCCAGCGTGTCCGAAAGCCTCTAAAATTTTCAAAGTCAATAAATTCTTAAATATTTCATGCTGAATATGTTCACAGAAGACAGTGATGACTAAAAACACCAAGGCTACCCTTGACTGTGAATACCGATCTTCACCTACTCTTTCGCTCATGAAGACTTGGATTTTATCCTCTATTTGCAGCAGTTAATATCTTAAGGAAATGCCTTCATTGATATGACAATAAAAAAGACATAAGCCTTCCTTATTGTTGACTAAATACAAAGATGCTTAAGGCATAAGACAAATACAAAATGAAACTGCAGGGAATTGAATCCGGTGATTTCAGAATTCAGGAAGACTGAGAAGGAGACTGACGTTACAGAAAGATTTGGGTGAGGTGATGGGGATTGGAGCGAACCTGGTCCAGTCTTAAGTGCACGAAGAGAGCCGGTGCCCTGGGCCCTCACTCTCAGGGATTTCAAAACGCGCCCGTAAGACATGTCACAGGTCCCCACCGCAGGGCATCCCTCAGCGCTTAGTTTCTGGGTGAGTAAATCTTCGCCCACCCACTCTCGTAGAAGCTCTGCTTGTTTGTTTCTTCTTAATTTCAGGTAGGGGGAAAGCACAAAGAAGGTGATCAAATAGAGTTAGGACTTTAAAAGCTAAAGCCACAAACAAAGAACTTTTCGGAATAACATGAGACTAGGATGCATGTTCAGTGAAAGTGGAGACTTGGCAAAGCATGAGATCAGTGGCCAGAAATTCTCAGACTGAAGGAAGCTCGGAGGTGTGTGTGTGCTGGAGTCACAGGCCTGCCCACAGAGGAGGGCCGCCAACGCCCCGGAGGACCTGCGCTGTCGCGGGGACTGGGCCCGGCTCACCGGCTGCATGTCAGGCAGGAGGGCCTCCCTGTGCTCCCAGAGGCCGAGCCAGCTCCACAGAGAACCGTCAGTCACGCCTGCCCACCTGTAACCAGTGACCACGTTTCTCAGAGCGCCTTAATAATATAAAAGGCCAAGAAAAATGAGTGTCTTTAAGAGCTAACTGTTTTAATGACACCAATACATTATACAGAGGAATAAGAAAATATTTCAAACTTCCAATAATGCAATCAGTGTTCAATAACAATGTAGTTTATTTATTATTATAATTTTTTAATACTCACCTGAGGATATTTTTCCATTGATTTTTAGGGAGAGTGGAAGAGAGAGGGAAAGACAGCAGAAATATCAATGTAAGAGAAACATGAGCCCTGACCATGGCCTGGACCAGGGAGGAGCCTGCAAGCAAGGTACATGCCCTCGACTGGATCGAACCTGGGACCCTTTGGTCCGCAGGCTGACACTGTATCCACTGAGCCAAACCGGCTAGGGCAACAACAATGCAGTTTAGAAAATCAACAAATGTAATTGCAAATATTTTAAATATCCATCTCTAATCACTTTCTGCACCATGTTTCCTGCCTGGAGGCGGGCGTGAGAGCGGGAGCTGGCTCACTCCCAGAGCAGCTCAGTCCCAACCGATGTTACGGCGGAAACATGCTACACACCAGGCATAAAATAGGAAAGCAAAGCCTGGTTCTGATGGTTACCAACAATCTCTCCCCAAGTGCCAAGTACACTGATTAAATATTTAAGGAGTCATTGATATTCATCTGTAGCAATAATTGACATCCATGCCTCCCTGGGGGCCTGGGGAGCTGGTGGAATGATCAGTCCAAAGAGAGGTGGGAGGGGAGAACATTACAGCAAGCTCAGCCGCTAGCTCACAAACGGAGGGACAAACCCAAGCATCTACAGCCAATTAATGGAGAAGTGATGCTACAACTGTATGTCACACTCTTAGCCAAGACTTCATAATAAAATACATTATAGTAATATTCAACAATGTAAGCTATTAATCTTCTATAGTGCATTCCAAACAAAAACCCCATGTCTCTGTAGTAATCAGGGAATTTTCACAATGCAATGGCTTCAAAGACTATTCAGCCCAGACTCCTTGTCGAAAAGTGGAGTCAAAATGAGTTAGAAATGACCAAAGAAAACAAAAATGCAGAGC